GCACTGAAGGTACTATGTTAAAACATGAACACTGATATTCACAAAAAATGACTAAGTTAAACTGAGTTAATATGGCGGCGTGGAACACAAGTGAACATACCTGGAGACGTGGAGAAGAAATCACAGAAGGAGTGATTTCCCCTCGCGCGCCTGCATATATACGGGCCTGAGGGCATATTCCTACTACAAAGATAAATTTCACTAACAATAGACCCTCTATTCACAGTAGTCGTTGGACACCTAGCTGTGACCGTCAGCGTCACAGATCAGGCTAATTTTCTACATCTATATTTATGATTTAATCAGAGGTTGAGTTTGTCAGTAAAGAGGTGAATTGAAGTTATATATGCGTTCGCAACTCTATTGGCCTGACCGCAAACCACATCCCCGGTCAAACGGCCGTTAAATCTGGGAGAATTTTGAGTTTGACAGGAACTGTTCAGAAGATGAATGACTTTCTTAAATAGACAACTGACACTAACTAAACTATGAACATCAGAATCTCTGATGTCGGGGCAACAAAACAATATAACTTCAGTAGCGATCAGAAACCCATGGATATCCCCATGGACGACCTAAAATACGCCACTCTAACTGGCAAACTCAACACTCGCCTACTTGACACGTCTTACTAACAATAAGGACAGTTGAAGCGTTCAACACCACTCACAATGGATCTTGAATGTTCCAACTGTAAACAGACATATCTAAGTTGACTCAAAACAAAGGTGTTCTCTCTCACATTCAAATACATTATATGTATGTATATTATGTATGCTGGATTATGTACTATGTATGTATATTATGTATGTGCTCCATTTATATTTATTCAGCCTAGCTAGCAGCGTGTGGCAATGTTATTACCATATCCCACACGCTTAATTAATGTGCCTGGCGACGTATGGAAGCTGCTAATGTATCACTTGCCATACGTCGTCTATGGTAGTTGACCAGGACCTTAGCTAGGGAGCAGTGCTATCCACCTCTGTGTACATACTCTTATCCAGTAAACCGAACCTACAAAACTATACAGGTGTTTGTGTTCTCTCCTGTATATAGAACTTATTACCCAGAACATCTAACATGGCGCAGTGCGTAGTTTTACTGGATTATTACGAGTGATTAGTGCAAGTTTGTGGAAAGCCGGCTGATGGATCCCCGCCTTGGGTCAACCCCGCGTCATCCCTCGAAGAATTTCGCAACTTTGAGCAGTGTCAGTGACAGTGATTTTCTGTGAAGTGTTTAGTGCATTGTGTGTTTCGTGCCATTCATGTGTGACCTTGTTCGAACGGATTTCCAAGGTATACGGCATGTTCTGGGCATTTGTGGGGTGTAGAGCTCAGCGCACCCTCCTCTGACCGTTTACAGAGAGCGACTGAGCTACTCCTATCTCCACCCCCCTCCCTCACAGCGCCGCCTCCACCCCCCCCCTCACAGCTGGGGCGAGACGCTGCCTGCCTGGGACACACACACATACATGTACTAACACTTGCTGACCGCGCGGTTCCTTATATATATTTTATATATATAACCTACTTATCTGTGTATTTAATTAAATTTTTTTGTCTGAAATCTTGTTGATACGACGGGCTGACCGGTCAACACTGATTTAAGACACAGTACACAGATAAAGTAGTTATGTCTCATGCCTTACGTAGCCGTGGACCCAGCGCCTGGATGAGTCAAGCGGATGATAGTCCCCCAGAGATGGATGACCAGGCCGGCCCACGCTCCAGCTCCCACAACATCGCGCAGCCCTTCACCTCAACATTCAGCGTTATCTCCAGAGATAATTGCCTTAATGAAGTTTATGAGAGATGAGAGACGCGAGGATGAAGCTCACAGACGTTTGGCGGATGAGCACAGAAGGCAAGCAGAGGCAGAACGAGACCACCAACGGAGAATGGAAGACAGTGCACGGTTTGAAGCCTTGATATCTCGCCTCACTGTTAACCAAGCCCCTGGCTCTAACACTGCCTCGGTACTGAATGGTTCAGATACCTCATCCATGCTTCCTTCACGCCCCCCAGCCCCACCTAAAGCAGCAGCTCAAACGCCGCCCATCTTGGAGCCTGATGTAAATTTCCAGACTTTTCGCGAATGGCGGCGGCGGTGGGCTGATTATGCTACAATGGTGGATCTCCAGAGTTTGTCACAGCCTAAACAACTCATCCAGCTGCGTATGTGCCTGTCCTTGGAAGTTCAGCGTGTCTTAGAACATACGTTGCAGGTACCCCCAACCTCTTCGCTGTCTGTAGAGGAGGTACTGGACGTTCTACAACGGCACATCAAAGGACAGCAGAATGAAGCTCTGCGCAGGAGGGAATTGTTTAGCTGCAGACAGATGGAGGGTGAGTCTTTTGACGCTTTTTATGTACGTCTTAAGAGAGCCTCGGAAGAGGTAGATATATGTTTAGGCCACCACCAGCAGTGCGAGGAGACCCAGTTGAAGCAGGTGATCCTGATGGGTGTTAAGGACGAGGAACTTGTCCAACGCCTCACCTCCCTCGACTCTTCCTCTTCTCTTCAGGATGTGTTGACGATATGTCGCTCCTATGAGGCTGCCAGGTGTGCCACCTCTGCCATCCGAGCTCCCCCTACAGCTGTACGCGCTGTTTCCCGGTACAAGAAGGACAAGAAGTCTGCTCCTACGCCTTCGCCCACCACGTCCACGCCCGGTTCATTTTGCAACAACTGTGGTAAGCAGCACGGAACACAGGTATGTCCAGCTGCTGAGTCTACCTGCGACAGTTGTGACCGTAAGGGCCACTGGTCACTCACAGTACGGTGCCCAGCCAAACGCGTCCAGTGCAATGTGTGCGGTCGTCTGGGCCACTATGACAAGTGTTGCCCTACCCACGAACCCAAGGGACAGCGTCGGCGGAAGCTTCGGCGCCCTTCTACCAGTGAGGGCCGCCCACAGTCGCCAAATCAGAGGCACGACGACCCTGGACAAAGCCCGACCCATTTTAGGAGGGTGTACTCCTCGCATCCCAGGACCAAAGTCCCCCAGTACATCAGCGTCATCGTGACCTACGGCGGTGTGTCATCCCGTCTTCAGATGTTGCCCGACACCGGCGCTGATGCTACAGTCATCGGTCCCCAGCATTTGCGATGCTTGGGGCTCTCTCCAAGCGATCTAGGACCGCCTCCCGAGGACCTCTGCGTCACGGCAGATGGTTCACAGATGGCCCCAGCCCTGGGTTCACTCTATGCACATGTCACCTTTGGCAACAGGTCGTGTCAGGCCTGGATTGACGTGCATAATGGTGTCCCGACTCCCTTGCTGTCCTACAGACATTGTCAAGAGTTGGCCATCATCTCCCAGGACTTCCCAACACCGATTCTCGAGGTAAATTACGCCAACAGGGTGCACGAAGGGAGCAGCAACTACCCTGCTGCCGCCCTACCCCTACCTCTGGCCAGTGACACCTCTCCTTCGGTAGTTGTCCCTGCTGCATCACGTCCCCACGCCCTGGCTCGCCTTCACGACAGTCACCGTGGAGCCGAGGCCACCAAACGACGTGCAAAACAGACTGTGTTCCGGCCTGGCATCGACCCCGACATCTCCAATGCTGTCCAGGTGTGTAAGCCCCGCCACGTATTACAACCCAGCCAGCAGCAGGTACCCTTCATGAGTGACGACAACCCCACCCGCCCCTTTGAGTCTGTGTCGGCCGACTTTTTCTGTGTGTCAGGAAAGTCCTTCCTGGTTATCGTCGACCGTCTCTCTGGTTGGCCGGTTGTCATCAAGGGCGGTAATGACACGACGTCTGCCGCCACCATCAGCAAGTTCCGCCACTACTTCCGTGACGTGGGCGTTCCTGTACGCCTGCGAACCGACGGAGGGCCTCAGTTCACAAGCCGGGACTTTGCTGCGTTCCTTGACCGATGGGGAGTCCGGCATGTGTTGTCATCGCCCCATTACCCGCAGTCCAACGGCCACGCTGAGGCTGCTGTCAAATCTTTGAAGCACCTCATCCTTAAGGTGGCCCCTTCTGGGAATATTGACTGCGAGGCCTTCGACCGGGGTCTTCTTGAACTCCGCAACACACCTAACTACACCGGACGCTCCCCTGCCCAGGTTTTGTATGGGCGCCCCCTTCGTTCTTGTGTCCCTGCTCACCCTCAATCCTTCTCCAAGGAGTGGCAGGCTAAGACAGAGGATTGTGATCGCCGAGCCGCCGAACGTGTTCAGGACGTCGTCGCCCGCTACAACGACCACGCCCGTTCTCTCCCCAGGTTGAGTGTCGGTACCCAAGTCCGTGTTCAGGACCCGACCTCCCTACGTTGGGACAAAGTAGGCGTAGTCATGGGTCTCGGCAGGTCACGGGACTACCAGGTGCGGTTACCCAGTGGTCGCGTGTGGTGGAGGAACCGCCGTTTTCTCCGCCCCGTAACACTGCCTTCTGCTGGCCCCGCCACCAGTGTTGAGTCCCACACCCTTCCCAGTGATGAAGTCCCTCGACGCTCAGAACGGATCCAGAAGAAAAGGTCCGCTCAAGACTTTGCTATGAGCGTATAGGGGGGAGGGAGGTGTATGTATATTATGTATGCTGGATTATGTACTATGTATGTATATTATGTATGTGCTCCATTTATATTTATTCAGCCTAGCTAGCAGCGTGTGGCAATGTTATTACCATATCCCACACGCTTAATTAATGTGCCTGGCGACGTATGGAAGCTGCTAATGTATCACTTGCCATACGTCGTCTATGGTAGTTGACCAGGACCTTAGCTAGGGAGCAGTGCTATCCACCTCTGTGTACATACTCTTATCCAGTAAACCGAACCTACAAAACTATACAGGTGTTTGTGTTCTCTCCTGTATATAGAACTTATTACCCAGAACATCTAACATTATATAGAGAGGTTTGTTTCAGTAAGTCAGAGAAAATGGGATAACGGAGGACTGAGGCGTCTTGAAGTGACGAGAAAACGGACTCCTCAGATGGAGGACTCAAAATAAAGCAGAGGTACATGTTTTGTGGGCTATTGAGCGTAATATGAATCATTTGATTTTGGCGTTAACTGACGTGTACGACCGTGGTCTTTACAAAGCTTTCCCCTCCCCAAGATTCAATATTATGCGGTATAGTCGACAAAACATTCACAGTAAATACATAATTTTCAAAACACAATATCTTGCAATACTGGGGTAATGGTCATCAATACAGGCAACACACATGGTTACATAATTTTCACATACATAAAATTTTGCAACTCAGTTGACTAATCACACAAACTCCCAGCCAGGGCAGATAAAATGAACACAGCACCACTTGTTATGGCACACAGAAGAACATAATCATACATCAATATTACAGAACATAATAATAAAAATAACAGGCCGGCCTGAATTACAGTTTTGTACACTTTTAACTGCACCATCCACCAGGACGGCAGGTAGTTTCCATCTTGGCAATTGATCAGACATGTATAACACTTTTAACTACAACATCCACTAGGATGACAGGTAGCTTTGTAGGACACTTTCAACTACAACATCCACTAGGATGACAGGTAGCTTTGTAGGACACTTTCAACTACAACATCCACTAGGATGACAGGTAGCTTTGTAGGACACTTTCAACTACAACATCCACTAGGATGACAGGTAGCTTTGTAGGACACTTTCAACTACAACATCCACTAGGATGACACTGGACCCAAGCTTCAAAATTCAACAATTGAGATCTCAAGCTAGGAATAGTTAGACTGACCCCATCCAGCCACTGAAGTATTTGGGTTGACCTTATCACAAAAGAACCATTCTCCACTCGCGGGATGAGGCAAGATCGGAATGGCCAGAGTATGGACTCAAATAGACTTTAATGCCAGCGACCCGGTCCCCATGAAACCCCCAAAACCTCAGTGCCCTTCTGTTACTTTGCAATGCAAGCTTCTTAAACTGCACTAGGCCCATGTACTCTTGTACCTGCCTAGCAATTACTTCACCATGCATGCGTCTTAAACTGCACTAGGTCCATGTACACGCCTAGCCGTGACTAAAGTCCAGCCCAACTACCTCCTACATTAACCCAGGCCTACTGCAGATAGGACCTCCAAGCAACTTGATCACTCACACCAAACGATGTTCTCACTGCAGTAAGACACATCTACTCATTCCTCTTGTCCATGGTACATACTGACAATCCCTCCCCCAACAGGGTCACTCTGGCCACTTGACTGGCGAAGCCAACAGTTGATGTTCATCATTAACACATCTCAACAAGATGTAGATGCCCTTGACGGCAGAATCATCAGGTGGTAGCATTTACTTTTACTACTACAGTGCTTTTCACATTCAGCTCATCTCCGGTAACATCTTCATATTGGGTACTTACAAGGCCTAAGGGGCCCTACGCCTAAAGTACTAACAAAACTTAAAGAAACCAACTGCACTGCACCGCCTGTACCAATCAAAACTGCACAACTACACCTTCCCACTGGCAATTGTATGAAAGGGGAAACACTGGAAGGACTTTCTCAATACTCTAGCTAACCTGTCTGACAAGGTTGAAAAATCATTAGTCCACACTATGACATTATCGGGGTAGTTACATTCAACTCGGTTCTTCGCTGCAAAAGGGGTTACTACTTGGTTTACTTCTCTGGTAAAAATAATAAAAAGAATAACGGGACTGGTTGAAAAAACCCAAAAGATAAGCGTGTAAACCTTCATAAGTTATATTCCATCACTAAATGTGGTTAGGTCTCGACTTTTGTCGTTAAGTATTACTTTAATCATATGCGTCTTTCAAGTCTAAGGTAGAATACTATTCATTGCTTGACACTCTCTCTACTAATTTATCTAAGTTGGATAAGTCTAAGCATACTTAACAAAAGATCTATTCAAATCACTGATTTCCTCCTTTCTCACCCGAAGTCTAGTACCGATGATAACAACTAGCTTCCTCAGCCTCACCGGCAGTTTTCCTTTCATCAGGTTCTGATCCCGATGGAAAATCTCTAAACTTGATTTTCTCACTACCCCTCCGAGCCTTCGGCGTTCCCCGCCGATGAATGCTGGCCTCCATGGCTTTGGCAAGTTCTCGGAACTCACACATAAGTTGTAACTTATTCACAACTACTGTGATCATCGTGCGCTGATGTCACAACAAATCTTCCACAAAACAACCCCACCAAAGATAAATTCAATTAACACCCTTCCAGAGCAAAGGAGGTAAACGTTAACACATAAATGCCTCGGATACCTTTTAAATGGATACTCACCCAAAAAAAATTTAAAGCCAGTAATAGTATGGGTGACTCACTCAGCAGATTAAGTATCTCTAAAGACAACACTACAAGGTTTCAATTCACACAGTACTCATAGCAATGCTCAAAATAAAATACTTGATGGTACTTGACGAGAATGTCTCAAGAAAATATAACTCTGTAGATTTCACGAATGATAAACACTAAGCGGATTTTCTGTACTCACAAGAATTCACTGTCTTTTTCAAATGTCTTGACACTGTGTTTACACTACACAATTTACTCTGTGCTTTACTCACAATTGGTGGTCCTTACATGTACAGAGGGTGTTTCCAGCAATCCATGTTCAGAGATTGTATGTCTTAGATGTCCATTTCACCACCGAGTCCTCAACCCAATCAATACTATGGCTGAAAATACACCGGAATTAGTTCTCAAATACATATAACCTCTTTACCAATGTTAGATGTTCTGGGTAATAAGTTCTATATACAGGAGAGAACACAAACACCTGTATAGTTTTGTAGGTTCGGTTTACTGGATAAGAGTATGTACACAGAGGTGGATAGCACTGCTCCCTAGCTAAGGTCCTGGTCAACTGCTATAGACGACGTATGGCAAGTGATACATTAGCAGCTTCCATACGTCGCCAGGCACATTAATTAAGCATGTGGGATATGGTAATAACATTGTCACACGCTGCTAGCTAGGCTGAACAAATATAAATGGAGCACATACATAATATACATACATAATACATAATCCAGCATACATAATATACATACACCTCCCTCCCCCCTATACGCTCATAGCAAAGTCTTGAGCGGACCTCTTCTTCTGGATCCGTTCTGAGCGTCGAGGGACTTCATCACTGGGAAGGGTGTGGGACTCAACACTGGTGGCGGGGGCAGCAGAAGGCAGTGTTACGGGGCGGAGAAAACGGCGGTTCCTCCACCACACGCGACCACTGGGTAACCGCACCTGGTAGTCCCGTGACCTGCCGAGACCCATGACTACGCCTACTTTGTCCCAACGTAGGGAGGTCGGGTCCTGAACACGGACTTGGGTACCGACACTCAACCTGGGGAGAGGACGGGCGTGGTCGTTGTGGCGGGCGACGACGTCCTGAACACGTTCGGCGGCTCGGCGATCACAATCCTCTGTCTTAGCCTGCCACTCCTTGGAGAAGGATTGAGGGTGGGCAGGGACACAAGAACGAAGGGGGCGCCCATACAAAACCTGGGCAGGGGCGTCCGGTGTAGTTATTCTTGATTCAAGAAGACCCGGTCGAGCCTGCGCAGTCAATGTTCGAAGGGGCCTATAGGATGAGGTGCTTCAGGATTTGACCAGCAGCCTCGATGGCCGTTGGACTGCGGGTAATGGGGGCGATAACCCAACACCATGGGTCAAGGAGCAGCGGTCCGGCTTGTGAACTGAGGCCCTCCGTCGGTTCGCAGGCGTACAGGAACGCCCACGTCACGGAAGTAGTAGCGGAACTTGCTGATGGTGGCGGCAGACGTCGTGTCATTACCGCACTTGATGACAACCGGCCAACCAGAGAGACGGTCGACGATAACAAGGAAGGACTTTCCTGACACACAGAAAAAGTCGGCCGACACAGACTCAAAGGGGCGGGTGGGGTTGTCGTCACTCATGAAGGGTTCCTGCTGCTGGCTGGGTTGTAATACGTGGCGGGGCTTACACACCTGGACAGCATTGGAGGTGTCGGGGTCGATGCCAGGCCGGAACACAGTCTGTCGTGCACGTCGTTTGGTGGCCTCAGCTCCGCGGTGACTGTCGTGAAGGCGAGCCAAGGCGTGGGGACGTGATGCAGCAGGGACAACTACCGAAGGAGAGGTGTCACTGGCCAGAGGTAGGGGTAGGGCGGCAGCAGGGTAGTTGCTGCTCCCTTCGTGCACCCTGTTGGCGTGTCTTACCTCAAGAATAGGTTTGGGGAAGTCCTGGGAGATGATGGCCAACTCTTGACAATGTCTGTAGGACAGCAAGGGAGTCAGGACACCATTATGCACGTCAATCCAGGCCTGACACGACCTGTTGCCAAAGGTGACATGTGCATAGAGTGAACCCAGGGCTGGGGCCATCTGTGAACCATCTGCCGTGACGCAGAGGTCCTCGGGAGGCGGTCCTAGATCGCTTGGAGAGAGCCCCAAGCATCGCAAATGCTGGGGACCGATGACTGTAGCATCAGCGCCGGTGTCGGGCAACATCTGAAGGCGGGATGACACACCGCCGTAGGTCACGATGGCGCTGATGTACTGGGTGACTTTGGTCCTGGGATGCGAGGAGTACACCCTCCTAAAATGGGTCGGGCTTTGTCCAGGGTCGTCGTGCCTCTGATTTGGCGACTGTGGGCGGCCCTCACTGGTAGAAGGGCGCTGAAGCTTCCGCCGACGCTGTCCCTGGGGTTCGTGGGTAGGGCAACACTTGTCATAGTGGCCCAGACGACCGCACACATTGCACTGTACGTACTTAGCTGGGCACCGCACTGTGAGCGACCAGTGGCCCATACGGTCACAACTGTTGCAGGTAGACTGAGCAGCTGGACACACCTGTGTTCCGTGCTGCTTACCACAGTTGTTACAAAATGAACCGGGCGTGGACGTGGTGGGCGAAGGCGTCGGAGCAGACTTCTTGTCCTTCTTGTACCGGGACACAGCGCGTACAGCTGTAGGGGGAGCTCGGATGGCAGAGGTGGCACACCTGGCAGCCTCATAGGAGCGACATATCGTCAACACATCCTGAAGAGAGGAGGAAGAGTCGAGGGAGGTGAGGCGTTGGACAAGTTCCTCGTCCTTAACGCCCATCAGGATCACCTGCTTCAACTGGGTCTCCTCGCACTGCTGTCTGCAGCTAAGCAATTCCCTCCTGCGCAGAGCTTCATTCTGCTGTCCTTTGATGTACCGTTGTAGAATGTCCAGTACCTCCTCTACAGACAGCGAAGAGGTCGGAGGTACCTGCAGCGTATGTTCTAAGACACGCTGAATTTCCAAGGACAGGCACATACGCAGCTGGATGAGTTGTTTAGGCTGTGACAAACTCTGGAGATCCACCATTGTAGCATAATCAGTCCACCGCCGCCGCCATTCGCGAAAAGTCTGGAAATTTACATCAGGCTCCAAGATGGGCGGTGTTTGAGCTGCTGCTTTAGGTGGGGCTGGGGGGCGTGAAGGAAGCATGGATGAGGTATCTGAACCATTCAGTACCGAGGCAGTGTTAGAGCCAGGGGCTTGGTTAACAGTGAGGCGAGATATCAAGGCTTCAAACCGTGCACTGTCTTCCATTCTCCGTTGGTGGTCTCGTTCTGCCTCTGCTTGCCTTCTGTGCTCATCCGCCAAACGTCTGTGAGCTTCATCCTCGCGTCTCTCATCTCTCATAAGCTTCATTAAGGCAATTATCTCTGGAGATAACGCTGAATGTTGAGGTGAAGGGCTGCGCGATGTTGTGGGAGCTGGGCCGTCATGGTCAGCCTGGTCATCCATCTCTGGGGGACTATCATCCGCTTGACTCATCCAGGCGCTGGGTCCACGGCTACGTAAGGCATGAGACATAACTACTTCCTCTGTGTACTGTGTCTTAAATCAGTGTTGACCGGTCAGCCCGTCGTATCAACAAGATTTCAGACAAAAAATTTTAATTAAATACACAGATAAGTAGGTTATATCTATAAAATATATATAAGAAAGCCGCGCGGTCAGCAAGTGTTAGTACATGTATGTGTGTGTGTCCCAGGCAGGCGGAGCGTCTCGCCCCAGCTGTGAGGGGGGGTGGAGGCGGCGCTGTGAGGGAGGGGGGTGGAGATAGGAGTAGCTCAGTCGCTCTCTGTAAACGGTCAGAGGAGGGTGCGCTGAGCTCTACACCCCACAAATGCCCAGAACATGCCGTATACCTTGGAAATCCGTTCGAACAAGGTCACACATGAATGGCACGAAACACACAATGCACTAAACACTTCACAGAAAATCACTGTCACTGACACTGCTCCAAGTTGCGAAATTCTTCGAGGGATGACGCGGGGTTGACCCAAGGCGGGGATCCATCAGCCGGCTTTCCACAAACTTGCACTAATCACTCGTAATAATCAAGTAAAACTACGCACTGCGCCATGTTAGGTATTCTGGGTAATAAGTTCTATATACAGGAGAGAACACAAACACCTGTATAGTTTTGTAGGTTCGGTTTACTGGATAAGAGTATGTACACAGAGGTGGATAGCACTGCTCCCTAGCTAAGGTCCTGGTCAACTGCTATAGACGACGTATGGCAAGTGATACATTAGCAGCTTCCATACGTCGCCAGGCACATTAATTAAGCATGTGGGATATGGTAATAACATTGTCACACGCTGCTAGCTAGGCTGAACAAATATAAATGGAGCACATACATAATATACATACATAATACATAATCCAGCATACATAATATACATACAACCAACAATGCATATCAGTCTACACTGTAAGAAATGGTAAGACAGTATGTAATAAAATTCTCTGTAAAAAAAAACAGGTTGAAAATTACAACACTGAAAAATTTAACACCAAACTTGTGTTATCTCAATAAATTCAATGGTAACAAATTGACTCCAACTGAGAATTAAAATTTTCTAGTTATTTCACAATTCAGTTCACTAGCAAAAGAAAAAATAATAACATAACATAACATACACATATAAACAAAATTTATATAACACTCACTTGGGTTATATGAAAATTTCAAAAGTTAGAAAAATACTTCAAGTGAGAATCTGAACACTTTCAATTGAAATCACAATACTTCCAATAAATGTCACAGCTAAAAATAAAACATTGGATTACATAACCTTTGTACACATGACACTTCTGGTGACACTCAAGAGATGAACTCAGTTCATCACACTCTGAACATGGCAGGTGTACTGTATACTTCCCACTCAATGTCTGTAAATATCCAAAGATTAACACAATGGTCACAAAAAAAATTACACAAATGTGCAATTACCACTTTCCTGAAATTTCACACAATAAAACTCACAAAGATGAGTTAGGTAGCTTATTTCAAAAAAAAAATTTGGTGCATTACCTAACTCTGTAACACAGAAAAATTATAACTTTCTTTCACAAAAGAAGTGGTGAAACTAAATCAATTGTTAGTTCTTACCTAACTCTTAAAAACTTTGCAGTTACCACTACAGTATTGTACTTGACACCAAAGTTTGTACTTTAAATTACACAATTATTTGTACTCATTACTGATGACAAAACTTATACATTTCTGTATACTGTATTCTGAGAAGACAAATTCACCAAGTATCACACCTCATTCGTACAAATTGGTTCTCAAATGAAAATAATCCCACTAGCTGGTCACCATTTGTAACGGGCCGCGTTTACTCTTTTCAATAATTTACCATCAGTTATTCTTATATGTTCTTTATCTCTATATACCTTATATTCTTATATAAGTAACTCGTATGCTTCTCTGCTTATGTTTTCCAAGTCAATGTTCTTTCTTTTCATTTCCTTTCATATAGATTGTATTCTCAGTTTCAATGTTCTTACCTTTCTGAAGTTTACTTTGTTTTATGTCTATTCTTATACATGGGTTAGTCTGGGGAACCATGTTATTCTTTGTACAACACTTTTTATACTTACAAAGGGTAGCTGCCACCACCCAGACTTTTCATTATATAACCTAACTCATGGAAAGTTGTTGGGTAGTGTGGTAGATGTCTAGGCACGTGAGTAAGTATTATTTTCTGGGAACCAATGTTTAGAAGGAGCAGAGTGGTGATACTCAGATTACTAATTCAATATTTATTAACACAGTGAGTGGAGAAGATGCATCTTAAATTCACTCAGGCTAAACAGAACCGCAATTAACTTATTAAATCATCAAACACTTCAAGAGCTTATTACCTCATTCAACACCTCCAAATACTCATTACTTTATTAGACAATTGGGATATCATTACCTTGATACATGAGATTCCGTACTATTATTCACAAGCCATCACTGGACCCTCAGGTCTTACTTTAACAAGTAACACATTACCTCTTCACTTCTTGATTAGAGCATGATACTCTCAGGTTATTCGTTCATGATTACTACAGATGAATACATAACACATTGGACTAACTCCACAATTATAGTAACATACAATACCTCCTGTTAGTTTGCAAGGAACAACCTGGTAACTTGAACTCTCATTCAGTGGTTCAATACTTAACCTGGGATGACTATATTTCTGCTCGTCATCCCTAAGCATGGATATTAATACGGCTCCATACATATAACCAAGAACAGTGGGTAGACCATGATCATACGACGGAGTCAGTGGGCCAGAGTTGTTTACAGGCTTGCTCGCTAGCTCGGAGCGCCTGGCCCGGGAAAAGTTGACTATGGCGGTGGGCCGTGGCGTCTGCCAAGGAATCTCGCCCTGGGATTCTAATCTCGCCACCTTAAAGACGTCTTTCGAGAGACATCGTGCCCATAGGCGGCTCCCAAACCTCAGGAGTGTTGCTAACCCCCACAACAGCGTCTGGAGACGTGGAGAAGAAATCACAGAAGGAGTGAATATTTAACTTCACTATACAAAACATACGTCTGGCACCGGTTCAGACGATAGCTAGAGCTCTACTTTACTTGACCCACTTGGCACTGAAGGTACTATGTTAAAACATGAACACTGATATTCACAAAAAATGACTAAGTTAAACTGAGTTAATATGGCGGCGTGGAACACAAGTGAACATACCTGGAGACGTGGAGAAGAAATCACAGAAGGAGTGATTTCCCCTCGCGCGCCTGCATATATACGGGCCTGAGGGCATATTCCTACTAGAAAGATAAATTTCACTAACAATAGACCCTCTATTCACAGTAGTCGTTGGACACCTAGCTGTGACCGTCAGCGTCACAGATCAGGCTAATTTTCTACATCTATATTTATGATTTAATCAGAGGTTGAGTTTGTCAGTAAAGAGGTGAATTGAAGTTATATATGCGTTCACAACTCTATTGGCCTGACCGCAAACCACATCCCCGGTCAAACGGCCGTTAAATCTGGGAGAATTTTGAGTTTGACAGGAACTGTTCAGAAGATGAATGACTTTCTTAAATAGACAACTGACACTAACTAAACTATGAACATCAGATTCTCTGATGTCGGGGCAACAAAACAATATAACTTCAGTAGCGATCAGAAACCCATGGATATCCCCACGGACGACCTAAAATACGCCACTCTAACTGGCAAACTCAACACTCGCCTACTTGACACGTCGTCTTACTAACAATAAGGACAGTTGAAGCGTTCAACACCACTCACAATGGATCTTGAATGTTCCAACTGTAAACAGACATATCTAAGTTGACTCAAAACAAGGGTGTTCTCTCTCACATTCAAATACATTATATAGAGAGGTTTGTTTCAGTAAGTCAGAGAAAATGGGATAACGGAGGACTGAGGCGTCTTGAAGTGACGAGAAAACGGACTCCTCAGATGGAGGACTCAAAATAAAGCAGAGGTACATGTTTTGTGGGCTATTGAGCGTAATATGAATCATTTGATTTTGGCGTTAACTGACGTGTACGACCGTGGTCGTTACAGGATAACTCTATTTCTACTAGCTATCCCCAATCATGTACAACAATAATGGGTAAGACTCATATAACTGTGAGGAGTACACCTTGGCTGTCACACCAACAACGAAGAGCGCTGTTAGGTCGGTCACAGTCCGACACACTGAGAGGGAGTCATCTCGCGGGCTTTGTTCCCCAGGTGCGAGGCTCGCTCAATTCAATCGTGCCGAATTAACAACATCCTGCAAGACAGCCAGCTGGTATGCTGGGTATTCAGCTAACACCCACTCTGTGCCTGGAGATGCGATGAGGAAGAGTCACAAGCGTGTTAAACGGTCTAACCTCAACTACACATAACTATACGTCTGGCAACGATACAGACGATAATTACTTTACTTTAATTATACTTGGCACATGATCATTTCAATATGTTAAAACATGAACACTGATATTCACAAAATTCAACTGAGTTAAACTGACTTAACATGGTGGCGGGAAACAAATGTTCACAAACTTGGAGATGCGATGAGGAAGAGTCACGAGCGTGTGAGTTTTGGCTTTTTATTCTTCAATACAGTACATTTATATACTTATATTCTTGCTTATATTTTCTAAGTCACCAATGTGTAAGAGTCCTGTTTTCCTCTTTATACTATTTTGTTCTAGTTATATTCTAAACCATGGATTAGTCTGGGAAACCATGTCATTATTATTATAACACTTATTACTTACAACGGTAGCCTGCCACCACCCAGACCTTTATTAGAATATAACATATCTCATTGAACTGTTAGGTAGCGTGCTAGCAAGCTTCTTGGCATGTGAGTTATAATAGTTATTTTATGAGAACCAATGGGTAGAAGAAATTGTCATGGGTTGCATTAGGCTTACCCACGCAACCAACTCCAAAGTTGTTTTACCAGAGATAAGACGCCCGGCGAGGCATAACTGGGACATGTATTTTTCAATTAGTGTATGTCAGCCAGCCTTTAGGGGGGTGGGCAGTGAAACAGTGTTGTACTGTTCATCGCTTCACACCCAAAAACCTAATTTTTAAGGAGTATCCCCTGAGCCATGGGTTAGTTAAGACGTCGTCTCCATCCTCTCCCTCCTGAAAGGGGGCGGGACACCACACCACACAGAGTCCTCCACCGCCACTCCGTCCTGTGAACCGTCGTCGACACGAGACTAAGTGTGTTAACCTATGTTGTTATCCCCGTGGAAATATCACGTGTGGAAGCCTGGTTGCGACAAAAGCAATCCAGGCTGGTCTATTGCACCTAAATGGTTAATTCAAGTCACGCTTACCAGTTCTCCTTGCCGCGACAACCATCTACCGAGACTGTCAGTGATGCGAGACTATGTGTGGTACACCAAGAGTACCTTTTGTTGTTATGGCCGTGGAAGGTCGACACGAGACTAAGCGTGTTAACCTAGGTTCTTATCCCCGTGGAAATATCACGTGTGGAAGCCTGGTTGCGACAAAAGCAATCCAGGCTGGTCTATTGCACCTAAATGGTTAATTCAAGTCACGCTTAGAGAGTTCTCCTGCACGACACCATGTGTGGTAACCCAAGAGTACTTTTTGTTGCTGTGGCCCATGGAAAGAAGTTCTTGTGCGGAAGCCTGGTTGCAACAAAGGCAATCCAGGCTGGCAGTAAATGTATCACTTGAAGAATTAAGGCTCTGTTAAGTTATACCCATAGTAGAGTAATCACATGTGTCCCCAAGTTAAAATCCTCTTTTAGAAGATTAATTTTATTACAGCGTGAACGTGAGAAAATCATATATCCATGCAAATTGTAAATCATTGTATGGAAGCTTGACAAATAAATGTAAGTGCAATTATCTGCCCGTATCTGTGATCCTATCTTATTATTACTAAAGGTAATGACTGATTGGTTATGACAAAGTATAACGAGTAACTTAGATGGATGTTGAAAATTAAATCAATTCATTAAATCATCATTTATCAAGTATAAATCATTGAATGTCGAGTGGTGGAGTGAACTTCTACGTAGATACGCCATAATCTCCTGTAAGTAATCAGTGTGAAGGTATCGGACTCTACGGTAAGAAATAAGAAATACGACATATTATTATCTTTATATTATATAATCCACTCCTACTACCACCGATCCACCCCAAAACCATGACAGAAATAGAGGGGTGATACTTGTAGTTTACTAATTTAATATTTATTAACATAAGGAGTGAAACAAGATGTTAATTAAGTTCACTCAGACAAGACTGGTCCACTTAAGTCTTACTTTACCATTCATAAAATATATCTTCAATTACTTATTACATCATTAAACAACTGTAATATTATTTCTTGGACAACTAAGATGGTTATTTTACACGTTCAGATAGGACTGGACCCTTCCTCACGTCTTACTTTTGCAAGTAACAAAATAAATCTTCAATTCTGGTTTACAACATTAAACAAGCAATTTATTATTTCATTATCAATATAGATGGTTATATGACACACTTGACAATATCCCGAATTAAAGTATTATTTATAACAACATGCTATTTCGGAATGAATAACATGGCACTTTTCCTTTAGTCGAGGTACTCAACTCACGTATATATTTACTGATACTATCAATTTTTTATGGGTTCACTACTCAACCTGGGATAACTGAATTTCGGCTAATTATCCCCAATCATATACAACAATAATACTAGATAGAACTCAGCTGGTAGGCCATATGGAGGATGCACTCCCAACAGCCCTGATAACACGGTATTACTGGTAATGCCAATACTGCTCGGTACATATAACGAAGATCAATGAACCAGACAATACTGAGCCCACTGGGCACAGGTAGTTGCCTTCACACAGCCGAGCTAAGGCTCACTCGCTAGTAACGCCCGTGGTAGACTCGCTGTAGTATTATA